TTCTAAAGGCTTGCCTTGTACACACACAATTTAGGATTCAACCAAGAACCTGAGTGGGATACCTACACAATTTTGGGCTCCTTATCTGCTGCTCCCTCTTCACTAGTACCCTGCTCTACAGACTCCGTCCCCCTTAAATTGTCATCTCTGTTTCTTCTTCTCAGCCTCTGCTTCTTCCACCCAGCAAGACTGCCACCTTCTACTTGGGTTTCATTCCTTGTATCAGAAACAATGCCAGACAGAAAGTTATAATAAATGTGAAGCTCACCTCTTGTGCTTCCCTTCTCTTAAGAATTGTAACCCTCTGCTTTCCATTGTCCAATGCTAGAAAATAGTTCCTTTGTATATTTTTCTCAGTTTCATAGCTGTTAAGCACAGGAGAATAAATCCAATGCCAGCTATTGCAGTATGGCCAGAACCAAAGATCCACTACTATTCATTCTTCAATTTGAGTTTTAACATTACTTACTCAACAGTTTTTTTGAACAATAAAACTAAGTTAAATCCACTTACTATTCTTTTTTAGTTCTTGGTCTATATGGATTTTTATTTTTTTATTTTTTTTTTTTACATCTGAAATTAAGTTGTATTTAAACAGGTAAAAATTTATACATCCTCTTAAAAACAAAAATCCAAAGTCAGTAAGTGAATTAATAATATTAATACAAACATAATGATAGCAGTAATTAAAATAGAGGTAACATTTTACCAGTGTTCAAATGTCACGGAATTCAAGTCACACTTGGATCTTTAATGATTCAAGTGTGCATCCCACATGGTAGGGGCTGGTCAGTTTTAAGATAAAATTCCTCCTCTGGACATGCTGTCCCCAGTCGAGTACGCCTCACCACTGCCTGCCGGCTTACACGGTGGGATAGCTGGCTGCTGTGGCGATTCCACAGTGGTTTTTCTGGTCTTTGGCCATCTTTACGTAACCATCCATGCCCCATTCTTCACCCCAGCTGTTCTTCACCAGCCAATATTTATTGCTACCCGATTCTGCTCTTTCAAATCCATAGCCAACCACCAGAACACCATGATCCACGTCTTCACTGCTGCAGTTTGGCTCAAAATAAATGCCTTCTTTATAGAACTGGAAGGACTCATGGCCTGCATCGATGGCAACAGAGATAGGCCCCACAGTTGCTACTGCCTTCATCAGGGCCTTCTCCTGTCTAGGGATGTCCACGAAGCCAGTGTCATTAACAACAGAATACTCAGGCCTGTACTTACAAGATTCATCCACTGCCTCATATGGATAGGAGTCCTCAGAGTCCAGGCCTCCGTTCTCCTTAACATACTGGAAGGCATAGTCCATCAGGCCACCATTGCAGCCATCGTTGCCTTGAGGCCGAGAGCAGTCCACCAGGTTCTGCTCACTCAGTGAGACAAGTTTGCCAGTTTTCTGGAACATCTGTCCTTCAAGGGCACCAGTTGCACTAAAAGCCCAACAAGAACCACACTGACCCTGATTCTTCACAGAAGTCACATAGCCTTTCTCTCTCCAGTCCACAGATTTGGGGACCTGATGAAACAGAGGCTCTCGGAACACTTTTCCCTTCTTGTGCTTCTGGTTTCGAAAGCCATTCATCACCTGCCTGAATTCTTCATTAGTCATGTCACCAAAGGAGTTCATTGCCATGGTGAAGCCGTGTTTCCCTTGGCTGTATTCCTGATTGTGCAGTTCGATCATTTTCTTATTCTTCTTCCACACTGCTCTCCTCCATCCTTCTTCATTCGTGTGGTATTGTTTTCTGTGCTTTGCCTTCCACTGACACCACTGTGCATCTATACTGCAATCAAGTGTTGGAGCAGCTGAGGTTATTCCCACGCAAAAGGCAGCCAGGATGAGTAAAAGATTCATGTTTCAAAAAAACCTCCAGGCTGGCAGAGCTCAGGGCAGACGCCCGCGCTCCCGGGAGTCACTCCCACTGCGTGACTGTGTCCCTGCAGGGGGTCCCGGCCTCCAGTCCCTGTCGCTGTCCCTGTCCCGCCATGACTGGGCCTGGTCTGGGCCGCTCACCCGCTCCCGGCCGCGCAGGCGCACTCCGCAGACGCAGCTGCCGGGCTCCGGAGGTCCGCGGTTCTGGATTTTTATATTTAACCTAGATCCATGCTGTAAGTTTTAGCAAATTAAAGTCCTAAAGTATACATAATATAATTTTATTGTATCTTAATTATAGAGCATAGTTTAAAAAGTCAAACAGTACTACAATGGTTAAACAAAGGAACAATTTTTCCCCTCCCACCTATATTAATCATGTTTTTTTAAAAAACTTTGTATATTTTATGATGTTTTGATATCTTAAAAAGCTCTCTATGAGAGAGATTTCCCCTCCCAGGGCTAGCCAATTCCTAGAGAAGCAAAGGCTTAGCAGGAAGCATATCTTTTATATGAAAACCAACCAATCTCAAGTCTATAGCTCCAACCACCTCCTTATCTAACTCTCACACACCAAGTCTGTATTTCTCCTTCCCTAAATTATCCCAGGGCCAGGTATTAGAAGACTAGAGATCACCTCTATAGCCCAAAGCCCCTGGAATTATTCAAATTAGCTAATCCTAAACTGTTTGCCCTGCTTTGTTTTTCCCACAGAAACCCCAAAAAGGCTCTGGCCTAGACTCTCCCCTCCCTCCTGCCTGCTGACCATGCTGATACTTCTCCTGTGGCCCTTGGCATCGTGTCATGTAACAAATGTAAGTAATAAATTCTTGTTTCAATGGCAGCAGCTTCTCTACATTGTCACTCAGTCATGCCTCTCTCTATAAATTAAATCCTGGGTATAATTTTAGAATATCACCCTACCCACTCCCTAATTTCCATTCCTCAGAAGTCACCTTTTCAAACTTATTAATGGATTTTTCTGGATTTTGCCTTCATGTTTCAAAGTAACATGCTTATTATTATTTATTGATTTTTTAGTTTTAAATACTATTGACTGCTTATTGTAGAAGAAAAATATTAGCTCTCAACACCCTATCCACAAAATTTTCATATTTCTCTTCTCTCCATTCCTGTAATATATAACACGCCTCTCTGTTAGATCAATACTTACTGTTTATATTATTTTATATGTGTAACTGTCATCCAGAGTTTAACAATATAGTTACAGTGACTATATTTTCTTTCCTTTATCATTTAAAAATTTTCCTGGAATTAACATGTATCTTTCTTTTTTATGTTTCTTTGTTTGCTTATGCAATTTTCTATGTAATTATTACTAAGTAATTCCTAAACTTTCTAAGTCAATTAAAACTCTCTCCTCAATGTGCTCAAATTAATAGTGCCTATTTAAATAAATACAGGGAAAAAATGTGATTATGCTAATGAAGATAAGTACCGTATTATGTACTTTACATTATTTTCCAGTATTAAAGTTTCAAGTTTAATTTAAATTTATTTAAATTATTTATTTATTTATTTATTTATTTTGAGACAGAGTTGTGCTTTGTTGCCCAGGCTAGAGTGAGTGCCATGGCATCAGCCTAGCCCACAGCAACCTCAAACTCCTGGGCTCAAGCAATCCTGCTGCCTCAGCCTCCCGAGTAGCTGGGACTATGGGCATGTGCCACCATGCCCGGATAATTTTTTCTATATATTTTCAGTTGGCCAATTAATTTCTTTGTATTTTTAGTAGAGACAGGGTCTCGCTCTTGCTCAGGCTGGTTTCAAACTCCTGACCTCGAGCAATCTACCCACCTCTGCCTCCCAGAGTGCTAGGATTACAGGCGAGAACCACTGCACCCGGCCTAAATTATTTAAATATCCCCCAAATTCTTGAGAACTTGCCAATGAAGCTTAGGGAAACTATTTGAAAAGTAAAAGAAACAGTACAGATCACCTCCAGCAAAACTATGCCTTCTTTCTTGTTGCTGTTTTTTAAACCTATGCTCAAAAGACTACATTTAATACTTAATACGTGGTGGACATAGTGACCAGTCTAAGCAAGAGCTAGACCCCATCTCTACTAAAAAAATAATAAATTAGCTGGGCGTGCTAGTGCATACCTATAGTCCCAGCTACTCGGGAGACTGAGGGAGGAGGATCACTTCAGCCCAGGAGTTTGAGGTTACTGTGAACTAGGCTGACACCAAGGCACTCTAGACTCTGTCTTCAAAGAAACAGAATAAAAACAAAAACAAAAAAATCTTCAACATTTAAACAAAATAAAGTCTGTAAAAAAATATGGAGCATAGAGGAAATACTTTAGGCTTTCACTAAAATTCAACTAATGTAATAAAACTATTAGGAAACAATTGGACAAATCAATGAATCCTGCAGCTGCATGGAATAGTGTTACTCATTTTAAAGAAAGCCTTGAAATACACTGAAGATTCTAAGAAGCTAAACTGTAAACAGAAATATAATAAGTTCAGGTATGTGAGAGGCAGTTTAATGAAGTGTGGTCTGAAGCCAGAATGCCTATATACAATTCCACCACTAATTAGCTCTATGACCTTATGAAAGGTCTTTAACCACACCTTTAACCTGTTTCTTCATCTGTAAAATGAGGATGATAAGTGTGTGTGTGCATACATGAATATATATATATATATATATATATTTATTTATTTATTTTGGGGTCATTGTTATAAAGATTCAGTATGTTAATCCATGCAAAAATAATTAGAGAAAGTCTATAAAAGGGGAATACAGGAGAGAAGAGAAGGAAAGGGGTAGGAAATGAAAAAGAAAATAAGGTGGAAGACAGTAGATGGGAAGGAAAGAGTAAGATAGAGAAAAATACATGTATAATAAACACCCAAAACTACAGACAGTAACATCTCAGGGAAGAAGTCCACCAAGATTACACATTTTGCAGTAAACTGTGTATTAAAAAAAAAAAAAAAAAAAAAAAAACAAAAAAAACACTACAGCTCATTGTATCAAAATAGAATACTGTAAAATAACCATTATTTAAAAAGATATTAATATAATTAGCGTAAATATTTGAAACTATAAAGGACAATCTAATATATAGAAGAGATATTAGCATTACCTGTACAGAAAAATACTTCACTTCATCAAACTTAATTGCAATGTTCTTTTCATTGTTTGTGGATGGCAAGCTCCAAATTCTTGTATCTTTCACAACTTTGTTTATTGAAATGCGAATGAATAATTCAGTGTAATGTCGTAAATTGACTGAAAATAGAATCATATTTAGGAAATAAGTTCTGTTGTAATTGAACAATCACCCATAATAAAAATGAATCCATTAAATAATTCAGACCAAAACCTAAGAATCAATCAAGTACATTAAGCAATAGAAAAAAGTCTTTTAAAATAGTATTTTTGCCCATCACTAGTAGACACAATATAAGTAGGAAAACAAAGTTGACTCTGCCTTAGATCACTTGTCATATTTTTATCCTCACATTTCCATCATAATTCCTTTACAAATTTTTCTATATATGTATTAATTTCAAGGTGATTTCAACTATATTTGCAAAATATAGTTGAAATATTTTTCTAAGTATAATTATGTAGAAATTCAAAAAATTAGAAAAATATGTCACTTGAGAATAATTTATTTTAAGATAAGAGCAAAGTGTTCTACTCTATAATTCTCTTCAGTATATACTTCATTTATATTATATAGGTTTGTGTTGCTATCCATGAATTAAAACAATTTTGTTTTCATGATTTAACTAATTATCTTCAAAAATCTCTTTATCCAGAATTCTTTTTAAAAAATGTTTATGTAAGAAGGGAACACCAAATCTCCATAATGAGATTGGTCTTATAAAAATAAGCACTCAGCTTCATTAAAGGCATCAATATAAAATATTAATAAATCCTTTAAAAATGTTTAAGAGAAGTACAATTATTACTTAAAAATAAATTAGCATTATTATACAAGAAGACATATATTTTTCCTTTAACATATATGGTGATTGAGGTGGATTATAGATGGCCGAAAATCTTTTGTTACTCCCACACCAAAAAGTGAAGTTTATTTCCCTTGCCATTTAATCTGGACTGGCCCTGCAACTACTTTAACCAGTAAAATGTAATGGAACGTGACTAGGATGGGCACAAAATTTAAGGGGATATCAAAAGCTTGAGTAATCAAGATAAATTATATATATATATATTACAGTAATATATTTTTTAATCAAAATTAATGCAGAAAAAAGAAAGATAATGGGACTACATGGAAAAAGAGAAAGGTTCAACTATTTCAGCTTCCCAGCTCGGTCTAGTCTTCCGTGCATCCCCACTAAAACACTGGACTTGTAAATATACCATTTCAGATATTCCAATCCTTTGAAATGCCAGATGACAGCAGCCCAAGCTGTTACACTGTGAAGCAGAAGTACCACCTAGTGAATGCACAGGTAGTGATTGATAATAAAATGGTTCATGATTTAAGCCACTAAGTTTTGGAGTGGTTTGTAAGACAGTAATGGATAACTGAAACAGTGAGATATAATTATACTATGATTCTTAAGTCGAAAGAAAGGATACTTTTAGTTGTAAAATGTCTGCAATTCCTTATATGAACAGCCAGGCAGCCAACCTACAACAATCAAAACAAAACACAGATGGTGAAAGTACATTTTTGAAAAGTTAACTTTTCTTCCACTTTACACTGAACTCTATTTTTTAAAACAATATTTCATGAGAAATATTTCATGAGAAATTTCTCATGAAATATTGTTTCTCATTAGAAATATCTAGTTAATACTAACAGAAAACATCAGAAAGCAGAAATACAGAATAAAAATGGGCAGGGTGTGTTCAAAGTAAACCCAAAATGAACAAGAACACAAAGCAAAAGAATAATTCATTGTTAACTTAAATCTGATCATCACTCTTTCAATCATTTTTATTTTATATTAGGTAAGAACTAATAAAATATAGCATCCTGCATATAAAAATAAGAAACATGCTTTGTTTCAGACAAGCTCTTTTATCTAGTATCCTAAAACCACTTCATTCATTCGACAATCATTCATTGGCTATAACATGCCAGGGGCTATAAAATATCCTCCCTTGCACAAAGTTTTCCTAAATGTTAGAGAAAGTTGTATCTTGTGCTTTACCATAAAATCAAATACAAAATGAATGCAGGAATAATTGAATTCTAAGATGAGTATTAGCCAAATATATTTAGCCATGTTTAGTCTTAAAAACCATGTAAAAACAGCCGAAACATTACATTAAATATTGTATATAATAGGAGGTAGAGATGAGGGACAAGAGAAATTCTTATTTCATACCCAGTGACTGTTCTGATAGTGTTCAGAAAATAAAGATAACTGTAAATGAATGCCATGATATTTGACAGTTCTATAATAAATGCACATAGATCCTCATGTCTTATTCTCTACTTTGAAGCACCCAATAGCACATTTTTCTGGTTCTCAACCCAGACATTAAGTCCTACCTGTGTGTGTATGTGTGTGTGTGTGTCTGTTTGCCTGTCTGTCTGTCTGTATGTATGAGTGATAAGAGTATGCTTTTGTTTCTGGGAGGGTTTTTTTTGGACAGGGGAGGGGTGCAAGATCTACTTTAGCACAATTCAGCAATAAATCACCTGAAGAGCTCAGTAAAATTACTGACTCCTAGGCCCCTCAGAGACCCTAAGTTAGGATATTTTAAGTGGGCCCCCAAATCAATGTTTTTAAAAAGCATCCCAAATGATTCTGATGTAACTAGATTTTGGAATCCTTAGTATAGAAAACATTATTAATATTTCTGTGAATAAGGATGTTTTCTATAATTTCAGTGATTATTACATTTCTCTGACTCATAAAAATAAAAAAGTCACGAACACATTATGAGAGGACTATTTTCTGCACATACTTCTGATTACCAAATAATAAACATTAATTATTCTTCATATTGAATAATAAATAATTTGTACATGTTTCTTGAGGGTTAATCATACATACCACATCTCCAAATGGTACTAAAGTTGGTGTCTCAGTTGCTGTTACCACTTCATCACTATCATCCCCTTTCAAAGTTTTTCTCAGCATCTATAATGTAAATAAATTAAGACTTAAGAAGGAAAAGAAGAATATAACTAGGTAAACGATTAATTCAACTCAACAATTATTTTATAAGTTTCTAGAAGTACCAGGTACTGTAGGTAATGGGATATTAATATGATTGAGAAACTCATCCCTATCCTCAATAAATTAGCAGAGAAATAAAAATAAACACATTTAAATGTAAAATGTAAGGGTATCATGAAAGAGGAGACAAGTCCATAGAAGTGTGAACAATTAGTTCTTCAGTTTATTAAGAGATTAAATAAATAATAGGATATCTTGAAAAGTTGATAAGGATAGTGTTCCAATTCTGTCCTAGTATAGGAGACACCTTGAATCTGAATGTCTACTCAAATATAACAAGGAGTACAAGTAAAATCACACAAGACACATGCCTCCAGAATTAGTAGGAGAGAGAGTGTCACAACCTTCAGATTTCCTGTAAGTAGAGAAATAAAATACAAATTCCAACAGAGCTCTCACTGGAACTTCTGTAATGATTACAAACTTACGTGGATAGAGAACAGGGAAGAGAAATCTTAAGAGACTGGAAATGAGCAGAGGAGTGGGGAACATGAAACACAGACAAAATTATCCTGAGGAAAAAAATTCAACCCTAAGTATAAAATTGTGAGAACAGGTCTAGAACTTGGTAGTTCACAACAATGGCTATAGAGAAAGGACCTGATAGAGAAGGACTGGAAGTAGATTCCTCAGATGAGCACTGCTGCTGGCAGGAAGGAGACAGAGAAGAGGTATCCCTTGGATACATGGCAGAGAAGAGAAAGAAGGATGTAAGAGGGGGAAATTAAGGACACCAGACAAAATAGAACTACAGGTCACGCTTACTCTTTCCCCTCACCTACTATTAATTAAAACTTTGTCCATTTAAGAAATTGCATTTCAATAGACTGAAAGAAGAGGGTACAGTTAAACCAAGCTCAAGAAATGACTGGGAGTAGGCAAAATCAGACCAACCCCAGCGAGAGCTATTATATTTTAAAAAAAGGGGGGGGGAGAAATCTTCAGCTGATAAAAATTCTCCCCCCAAATAACCACAGAACAAAAATAACTTATAAAATAAAATTTCAAACTGAATTAAACATTTTCAAATAACCATTTGGAGATTTTTTTTAAAAACCTACAATCACAAATTCAATAATTAAAACAAAGATCGACCAAAAAGAAGAAAGAAAAAATAAAATGAGTGCTGATCAACTCAAGGAAAGACATTTTTTAAAAAGACAAGCCATCTCAGAAATACAGAATAAATTGCAAGGTGGCCAAAGTAGCATTGATCAAAATGAAAACTTGATATGGGCCATTGCAAAAGGTAAGAAACCAATGAAGAGAATAAAAATGAGATAAAGGAAGAAATATACAGTCAGAGAAAAGTAGCTGAACTGGAAGGTAGGGCAAACAAGAAATCCTTGAAGAAGAAAAACAAAACAATGAGAAAGAACTAATATTTAAAATTATAATCTAAGAAAATTTATAAGCATTAAGAGAAAAATCTACATATGAGTAGGACCTACTATGTGTCTGGGAAAATTATCAACTCCAAGACATGTCCTAGTAAAATTACTAGACTTTATAAAAACATTTTTCCTCCAGGCAAAATAAATATACCAAAGAAACTGAACAGAGAGTCTAGACACAGACCCACACATTTATAGACACTTCATTTGTAACAAAGTTGGGACTGTAGAATAGTGAGGACAAGACACTCTCAGCTGGGATACCTGGAAATATCTGTCCAGATAAGAATGAGAAGAAGAAAGAAAAGGAAGAGAAGAAGAAAATGAAGAAGGGTGGGCAGAGATGAGGAGAGAAGGTGAAAGAAAGGAGAAAGCCTGACCTGTACCTCACACCATACACAAAAAAAATCAGTTACAGGTGAACTGTGAATCTCAATGTTAAAGGCAAAACAATAAAATAATCAGAAAATAATATGGGAGAATATTTTCATGACTTCAGGGTAGAAGATTTCTAACAAAGAACCACAAAGAAAAAGTTCAATATATCTAGCTACATTAAAGTTCATAACTTCTGTTTATCAAAAGACACCACTTGAAAAAGTGAAAATATAAGCCACCAAGAGGATGAAGATATTTGCAACATGTATAGTATATAACTGACAAAGGGCCTATACCTAGATATATACTAATATGCTATATAAATTTATTTACTAATATAGATTTATACAAATCAATAAGAAAAAGGTAGACAACCCAATAGAAAAATGGGAAACAGACTCAAACAGGCACTTCACAAAAGAGTTTATATAATGGCTAATAAATGTTTGGAAGGAGCTCATCCTCATTAGTCATCAGTGAAAGGAAACTTAACACCACAAAGAGATACCACTACACATCCCTCAAATGGCTAAAAATAAAGACTGACAATACCAAGTGACAATAATATGGAGTAACTAAAACTCTAATATCCTGCCAGTGGAAATATAAATTAGTATATCCTCTTTGAAAAACTGTTTGGTATTATGTACTTAAGTATAACAGACACATAATTATAAGCCAGGAATTCCATTCCTACATATATTCCCAACAGAATGCATGCATATGTATACCAAAAGACATGTAAAAGAATGCTCATAGTAGCATTATTCATCATAGCCAAAAACTGGAAACAACCCAAATATCCATTAACAATATGATAAATAAATATAATATGACACATTCATACAATGGCATATCACAGAGCAAGGAAAATGAAAGAACACACCTACACACAACAACATGGATGAATCTCACAGACCAAATATTAAAAAAATACACATTTGTAAATGCACATGAGAAACTCTGGAAAAATATATCATATGCTAGTTCATAGAACCAGTATCAATATAACTTTTAAAGAACTGAAATCATATAAAAATGTTCTTTCATCTCAACAAAATTAATTAACAAACAAGAAAACAAGGAAATTTGGAAAATACACAAATGTTAGAAATTATAAATACATTTCTAAATAACCATGGGTCAAAAAATGAAAAAACAATGAAAACCAGAAAGTATTTTGAGCTGAATAAAAATGAAAACACAACATAAAATTTATAGGATTCAGTTACAGTAGTGCTTACAAGAAACTTTACAGCATTAAACATCTATATTAAAAAATAAGAAAAATCTCAAATCAATAACTGAAGATTCTACCTTAAGACACTAGAAAATGAAGAGCAAGTTAAACCCAAAGTAAGCAAGAGGAAGGAAAGATAAGAACACAAATGACTGAAATTTTTAAAAAGAAAAAAAATCAATGAAACTAAAGTTTGGTTCTTTGAAAAGATCAACAAAATTCACAAATCTTTAGCTAGACTGCTGAAGAAAAAAGAGAGAAGACACAATATCAAGAATGAAAAAGAGACACCATTACTGACCTTACAAAAATTAAAAGTAGTATAAGGGAATTCTATTGTATTACTTCCTGTGGCTGCTATAAAAATTACCACAAACTTGGCTGATTAAACAACAAAAATTTATTCTTTCAGAATTATACAGGCCAGAATTCTAAAATCAGTATCACTGTGCCACAATCAGTCAGCAGGGCCATCATCTCTCCAGAGGATCTAGGGGAAAAATCCATTTTTATCTCTTCCAGCTTCTGGTGGCTGCCAATATTCTTTGGCTTATGGCTATATCACTACAATCTCAGTCTCTATGATCACACTGCCTTTTCCTTTCCTGAGGGTGTACTTCTGAGTGTATCCAAATCACCCTTTAACTTTCTCTTATAAGGACATTTGTGATTTTATTAGGGCCCACTCAGATAATCCTGGATAATCTCCCCATCTCAAGATCCTAAATTTCAGTACATCTGCAAAGTCTATTTGCCATATAAGGTAACTACTACAACTATAAACAATTTTATACTAACAAATTAGACACTTTAAATCAAATAGAAAAATTTCTAGAAAGATACAAATGACCAAAAGTGACTCAAGAAGAAAAAGAAAAAGAGCTATAACAAGAAATTTAATTAGGAACTAAAAATTTTTCCACAAAGAAAAACCCACACCCAGATGGTTTCACTGGTGAATCCCATCAAGCATTTTAAAAAGAAATAATAGGGAAGTGACATTAGCAAGATATCAAGATATCAAGATTCTTCCTCCTGCAAAAAACCATTAGCTATCCATAAAAAAATTTTTCAATTTTCAACTAATTTTCAACAAAGGTACCAAGAACATACACTGGGGAAAGGACACCTTCTTCAATAAATGGTGGTGGGAAATTTGGATATCCATATGCAGAAGAAAGAAACTGGACTCCTATCTCTCACTATATATAAAAATCAACTCAAGATGGATTAAAGATTTAAAAGTAAGACCTGAAACTATAAATCTACTAGAAGATAATATAAGGAAAACATTTCAGGACATTGGTCTAGGGTAAGATTTTATGGCTAAAACCTCAAAAGTACAGACAATAAAAACAAAAATAGACAAATGGGACTATATTAAACTAAAACCTTGTGTAGAGCAAAGGAAACAATCAACAGAGTGAAAAGAGAACCTGTTGAATGGGAGAAAATATGTGCAAATTATTCATCAGACAAGGCATTAATATCTATAATATACAAAGAACACAAATAAATTCACCAAAAAAACCCCAAATAATTCCATTAAAAAGTGGGCAGGGCAGGTGCAGTGGCTTATGCCTGTAATCCTAGCACTCTGGGAGACCAAGATGGGAGGATTGCTTGAGCTCAGAAGTTTAAGACCAGCCTGAGCAAGAAAGAGACCCCACATCTACTAAAAATAGAAAAAATTAGCTGGTAATGGTGATGGGCACCTGTAGCCCCAGCTACTTGGGAGGCTGAGGCAGGAGGATCGCTTGAGTCCAGGAGTTTGAGGTTGCTGTGAGCTAGGTATTCTAGCCCAGGCAACAGAGCAAGATTCTTATCTCAAAAAAAAATTTTTTTTAATAAAAATAAAATAAAAAGTGGGCAAAGGACATGAATAGACA